ATCACAAATTGGTCCGTCCCACAGAACGTACGGCAAAACATACGACAGTTTTTGCGAGTGGCATCTTGGTATTGCCAATTTACCGAAAGATTCGCCATCATCTCCGTCTTGCTGATCGGACTTACACGTAAAAAGGCTAAATGAACCTAGGAAATCGCCGAACAGATCGCGTTCGATCAACTGAAGCAAACCGATGCTAATGTGTTTCAACTTCACACGGCAGTTTATTCTACAGACAGATGCCCAACGGGATTGGTGGCCGTCTTGACACAATACATCCCGGAAAAAAAGCGGATGATCGCATACGCAAGTCGCACCCTCAATAAGGCCGAACGTAATTATCCGGACTGGAGTATCTGGCCGTCGTTTGGGGCATAAAGTAGATGCGTGGCTACCTAGAGAGATGCCATTTTGCTATTATCACCGATAATCAATCCTTACGATGACTCCAAATGCTGAAGTCCCTGGTTAGGGCTTCGAACTCCAGCAATATGATTTCAAATTGAAATGCCGGAAGGACACTCAAGAAGATGGCCTGTCACGTCAACCTGGGATCCACGCCGTTATCAAACTATGAAGCGCATGATACTAATGTATGTATAGCACTCCGCGAAGACTGCACCCCAGGACGTACCGGACTTCAAGATAAAGTGCGGCCGACTGTTCAAGCATGTGCTAGCACAACTTTGACTTTAAGAAAACGCCGACGGAAGGACAGTGGAAGAAGTACATCCTTAAGGAACAACAGATTTCGAACCGCTATCATGCATCCACCGCCAAATATTTGGATATCTGGAGATAGCCGAAACGATTGCGCGAATTGCAGTATAATTCTACTTGCCCGAGATGTTTCGCGACATTGCACAGTATATGTGCGGCAATGCCAGAACTGTATCGTGCACAGACCGTCAAGGAGAAGCCCCAGCAGAAATTAAGACTTTTTAGTTTATTTTGACGAGTATTACATGCTCCTAAAATTTGATACTTTTTTAAACACCCTGTATATTATTGTAATTTTTATAGTATTATTTTATAGTTCGTTGAATATTATAGATTTACTAAATAATATAATACATACAAAAATATCGACAAATACAAATATGCAAATATTATGATTTCCTTGGAAAACTAATTACTAAATAAGGAAATAATAATTCTGTCAAGTATGTATATACACATATAATATACTATATAAACGTCTTATAGAAATAGCATTTGCTACTTATAAAATGTTATAATTGTAAAATACATTACCATACATCAATATCTAGAAGAAAGAAAAATACATAAGCGTTCAAATATCGTTGATATTATTAACGTCACTAAGGAAATGTCAAATTCGAAAGAAATTAAAGTAAAATGAAAGGAAAGATAAAAAAATTAGAATTCATGTTAAAACTGAAAGATATATGATGCGGAAGTAAATATGAATATTAGATAAAAGCAGTAGATAAATCTTTCCACGAACAACAGCAAATTTTTTTAAAGCGCAAGTACGTCTGTTTTAAGTAAATGCCAAAGGCAGATAGTACTATTTTCAAACAATATTGCCTTTATATTTTTCTATTCTTAGAGCTTATAAAAATTTAGCGCTTTTAAACTATTTTGCCTGTCTAATCTTAGAACATAAGAACGACTTACACCTTTTATCTAACTCCAGGCATTCAAAATATAGCATTTAAAATATTAAAATTAAAACTAAAACACTGAGAGAAATTGATAAATATTGTATTATGTATTTTATGTTTAGACAAAATGTTTTTAAAAACACATTTACTTTGTGATTCGACAAGCGATAGAGTTGTAGATTTTCAAAATATGGGGTTAGATAACATGTATATTAAACAACATTTATATATACTTGCATGCTATGTGGTTATAATGCTATAGAGCTATACGCCATTTTTAGAAAAGATATGCCATTGGCATATTTTTTTATATTCCACGTTTGATAGTTCTTGTTTATTAAATACTTTACATAAGACTATAATAGGCTTAAGAAATATTGGTTTATAAAAGTTTATGTGTTTATACCTCAAATATAAATTCCAATTTTGTAAAGCCGTTTGAATTTTTACATATCAGTATTGGAAAGTAGTACTTTGAAAATAATAATAAAAAATATTTTTTATAAAAAAATAAATCCGCTCGTATGTATAAAAAATTGAAATAAAAAGGGCCAATAACCGAGCAAGAAAGATGTTAAATAATTACTTATTAAAGATGTTAAGTAAGTAATTATTTAACATCTTTCGTTGCTCAGTTATTGGCTCTTTTTATTTCAATATTTTATATTTATTAGAGCATCATTACATATTTGAAACACGAAACGGATATGCTTGAAATTCAGACATCTATTGATAACAAATATTTCCGTTAACATGGAAATAGATATTTACGAATATTGTAATGTGTCAATATAACTGAAGAAAATGCATTTACGTATATTTGTAGATATTTATTAAAACACTGTCTTGTAAAGCATATATATGTGAAATGTGTAAATTACTTTTAGAGAAAGTATAGTGATTTAAACACTTTAAATAATATGGTAATTTCTGTATTAACAGAAAATGCATTTGGCCAAGTTCTCTATTTCTACTGTATAGAAAGAAATGTATACAAAATTATTTGAAACTTTATTTATTAATTATTATTAAGCAACCTAACATGGTGCAAAATATTACAAACATTATTTCTACAATTAAAACTACATAATTAAATAAAAAATTTTCATGTTTACCAACTATGTATGTACCTATATAGTTAACCCTTAAGGTGCCATACGTGGATCTACGACGTCCGAGCCAAAGTGATATTTGCTCGTAACTTTAAAACTTGCAAGCCTGTCAGAAGATATTTTCTAAACAATGTTTATCAAAATGACTATAAAATCGTCAGCTAAAATATAAACAGATGTTTATTAAAATGACTATAAAATCATCAATTACAATGTAGACAAATGTTTTATAAATTTTTTTAGATTTTTTGAAATACTTTAAAATAGGGAAAAATAGTGTTAAACGTGACAGACTCACGTATGCACTTAAAAAATACCAAAAAAACGCATGCACTTTAAGAGTTAGCTATAAATATCCACGTAACTGGTACATTTTAACTGGTAGTAGGTAGTATAAAAAATCATATTTATTTTTAATCATTGTTTTTCTTTAACGAGTACAGCATCATCGAAATTAATATTACTACTCAATATTGTATTTGCATTTGTAAATATAAATATATTACTTTATCGATGTGTAATTTATCGATTATATATCAATGTATTTTTATATTTTAAAATAAATAAAATTGTGTTTTTTTTTCTTATGTATGTACATATGTGTTGAATTGAATATTTTTGCTTCAAATATTTAATTAATATAATATTTCTTATAATTTTATTTATAATAATATTAATATCTTGAATAGACGTACCATTTATAGTTCTATTATATACCTACACTTTATTTCATATTGAATATTATGATATCATAATATTCGATATGAAATAAAGTATATATAATAGAACTATAAATGGCAAGTCTATTTAGCATTGGCAAGGCATTTGGCACACGTATTTAAACAATAATAATTATCAAGCAGTTTTTATTATTCAAATAAAGCGCGCTCGTACAATTAAAAATTTGCGAATGATGGTTATTCCAAAGATCCAAGACACTGCTAAACTGCTACCTTCGGCCGGTCGGCCTACTGAAAAATGTATCAATATCAAATAAAGATTCTCTCTTCACAGTTTTTATATCTGAAGTCAAATATCAGACGATATGTCGCGGGGAATACATAGCGATTGGAGCGTGTTATCGGTATCGACCATCACTTTTCTACAATTCTGTTGAGCAACGATACATGTAAGTTATACTATAATACATAAATATAAAATAAATTAAATAAGAGTTAAAAAAACTGAAAACTATAATTTTTCCACAACGGTTAATATTTATTATTATTATGCAAATTTAAATATGCTAAAATTAATTTGTTTAATCTTTACAGGATAGGCAAGTTTATTCATGACTTTTTGTGATTTTTATTTATAACTTCTATATATGTGTTAAAGTGTTATATCACAAAAAATAAGCGACCCCCATAGAGCCTAAAAATAAGCTTTCTGTCCTCCACAGATTAATGTGTTTATTTTTTTAAGCGTATTGGCCAAGAGTGGATTTTTGTACATTACATTTTTAAATTTCAATTTTTATATTTCTAAATATTTATTTAATTATATTTATAGCTTTTATATTTATAAATTTCAATTTTATAACAGCATAGTTGGAAATATATCAAACTCTGGTATAAAAAAAGAATTAATAAATTAAAAATAAATAATGTCGTGACTCGTCAATTTTTATCAACTCGAGACTTGAGATTCTCGAGATTCGAAATCACACACCTCTATAGCTCGAGAGAGAAGGAGACTGCAGATCATATGTCTGTCCTTCTCCACTTCTCAAAGTCTGTCGAATCAAGTGTCAAGCGTATAACGGATGTTAGTCGACTTTGCTTTGATGTGTGTGCTCGTGAAATTCTTATCACTTGCTGATACAACGTCGTAGCGTGCGGACGAATCATAAGGCGTTCGTATAACTATAATTCTGGCACTTTACCCGCAACCGCGCGTATTACGTATGTGAGTTAGTAAGGTGTAAAAGTAATTGTGAATAAGCAATTAAATAATAAAAGTTATTTGCCCGAGAGCAGTCACAGCAAGCGGACGTAAGTCTTTTATTGATATATGCAGTGTCTTGTGACAGCGCGTAACACTGAAACAGCCCCTAGTGCTAAGACGCTATTACGTCTTAATTGGAAAGCAAATTAATTAAATTCAATATAGGTCTATTGCCGGGAGAACGTCGCGTCGCGTCGTAACGGATAGATTGCAAAACGTTTTTTTTAACGTTCTGACACTTAAATTATGAGTTACTATAAGAACATGCAATAGAGATTGTGATTGAGAACAAATAAAGATCACTTGCCGGGAAAAGCAATTAGTACCGAGGTGCGAGATTTTTTACACAACGTGTAATCATCATTACCGACTTATATTGAATTAATTACGGGTGTTCGTTACAATATTGCGTTGACATTACGATATTACGCGACATTGTGAAACACTTCCGATTAGTATTACGTGAGTCATACGAAACGTTTGAGTGTGCGCATGCGAGTGTGGTGACTGTACGAGCAAGTAAGAGATAACTCACAATACTTTTTTTTAAGTAAATACGGTGTACAAGAGTACAAGTCGTCCGAACTTCTCCTCCTTTCGCACCGCACTGCTACACTGAAAAAAAAATACTTAGATCCAAGAAAATATTTGTTCACATAGTACCAATGGCTTATTTACTTAATATAATCACATATTTATTTAGAATTAGATATTTTTACTTAATTTAAATAAATTATTATTTTCACTTAATTTATGTATATTATTTTTACTTAATTTAAGTAAAGATATCTAATTCTAAATAAATATGTGATTATATTAAGTAAATAAGCCATTGGTACTATGTGAACAAATATTTTCTTGGATCTAAGTATTTTTTTTTCAGTGTATTGCGGGTGTCGTGTTAATATCTGAAAATGTAAATTATTAACAGTTCTCTATTGTGAGGAAATAACTACTGTGGGAAATACTTACCTATTACTGAGAACAATCGATACTCATTCGGGATTAGATCCTGGTGGAGCGAGTACCCACTCGGTTGCCATGACGTCGCGTCGGTACCTGTAACAAAAGAAGAAAAGATTATCAATCAGAGGAATCCTTCTTGGCGGTAAAATCACGTGGCAACCATATAACGAGTGTGTATATTTATAATCAGTAATTATTATTTATAATGTGATTCGGTCACAACATTAGCTTAGAAAAACACAAATTTAAATAATTTAAATTTTTCATTCCGAAAAATATAAAACAAATTTACATCTCTCAGTATATATTGCAGGTCAACAGTATTACTGGCAAATCTACTCTTGTGCCTATGGTTGACCTTTCTCTATTTCGCTTCCATTATCTAAAAAACCTGTTATATTAGTTTTTATTGTTTTTAGCTTATTTAGACATATAGAAAGAAAATATTTCTTTATTCTTGCCATATTAAATAAATTTTGTCATCCTACTGCTAGAATAATTGCATCTTATTATTAGAGAGGTTCACATATATAGAAAGAGGAACGCACACAAAAAATAATAAACTGATTTTTACCAGCCAAAACTTTTATCACTTATTTCTAAATCTAAAGAAGAATTTATAACAGAATACAAAAACTATGAAAAAACGAGATAAAAAACTTTATCTACAAGCTCTAACTGAACTCGAAAAGGTAGTATCAGGAGATAATATTGATAGATTAAAAGAATTAAACAATTTAATTGACAATATATGTAATGCAGATGCAGAAGATCAAATAACTTTGAGAAATTATTATGATAATGCCAGCCACCCTCTTAGAAACACTAATTTAATTATCTTAGCCTCTAAACATAATAAAGTAAAAATTTTAGAGTACCTATTTGATAGTGATAGTAGAATTCTAAATAATCTGTCTGTTGTTATTGGAAGAAACACTATATTACCATATGATGAAGATGAAACACGTCATAATGCGTTTTATTATGCTATACGATCATGCAATGTTGAGCTTCTTGATACACTCATTAGTAAATGGCCAGGTAATTATTTTTCTGTTCATTTAGCAGAATTGGATGAAATCCTTTCAAGAGTCTATGAAGAATTAAAGTTAAAAGATGTACCATTGTCAGACGAAATGGAAATTTTTGTTCAAAATAATTTAATAAATCTCCGTTTCTTTTCCAATACTTCTCGATCAGAATGTGAAGATCAGAATGTAAAGAGTTGTCTTAATAACATCAGAGATCGGATTGATTTAACACTTCAAAACATTAGCTGGCTAAAGAAACATTACTCAAACACAAAAAAAGTAGATAAAAAGTTTTTATTTGTAGCAAAATTTATCGCACAAAATATTCATATATTAAAGCGGCAGTTGAAATCAACCTATGATAGATTACCTTGGGAAGAAATGGAATTTTGTTTAATCAGTTTTGTTTTCTCTCACACAAAACGACAAGAAATTAATCTATTTTATAATGCTACATTGAATAAAAGCAAAATATTAAATTACTTAGAAAACTTTGCAGAAAAACTTGAAAAAGAAGAAAAAAGTGTGGACATTAATAAACTTCCAAATTTAAAACATCACTTAGAAAACTTTGCAGAGAAACTTGAAAAAGAAGAAAAAAGTGTGGACATTAATAAACTTCCAAATTTAAAAAACATTAAAAAACGTCCAAAAACAACGTCCAAAAAAACGTGCAAAAAAAAACGTCAAAAAAATCGCGAGAAAGTTGTTGCAGAGAAACTTAAAAGATGAAAAAGAAAGTGTGAACATTAATAAACTTCCAAATTTAAAACGCGAGGAAGTTGTTGCAAAGATTATTAACAGTTGTTCTCAATTTAAAGAATTGTATAACGATTATCAACAAATTAGGGATATTTATTCTTTAATGAAAATAAGTGATTATATAAAGTTGGCGTTATTGGTTGATTCTAAAGAGAAGGAAGGACAGTTAATTATTACAAGGGTTTTACAGGTTATCGGTGAGCATTTAAAAAACACTTTAGAATCCCCTAAGTTATCTAATACTACAAGTGGGCTTTTGCTATTATCGTTACCAAAAGATACAAGAAATATAATTAAAAGTTTACGTGATTCACTATCGCATGCTGATTCACTCTCCAATAGAATAAAAATCGAGAAAAATACAGATGTTAATTTTTTTCCTTGTGTTCAAAATGATATTAAAAAAATCGATATTGTAATTACTGGTATTCTTTATAGTAAAAAAATTATAACGCTTAGGATGCTTCTAAAAAGAATTGTTGATAGTAAAAGCTTAAGTGCTGATATAAAAGAAATTGCTGAAATATTAAGTAATGTTAAGTTGGATGAAATAATATCGGCAGATTTAAAAATAATGGAATACGAGAAACTTGAAAAACTTATTAAAGAATTAAGCGACAATATAACTGACAAGACAAATTATGAAAAGGAGCTGTTTAATGAAATTAATAAAATAATCAATTGTGCAGGAACTCAATCAGAAAATATCAGAACTGATTGTATCACAGGACATAATTTAATAAAAGGCTTAATCAATTTGAGTGAAAAATTTAAGATTGAAAACAACGTTATTAGTGGAATTAAATTTATTGCTAATAGAATATTAGAAAATATGACTATAAAAACAAACCCTAATAGCCTTAAAGAAATTGCTAAGTTGTTCGGAAAAATTTATCGTAGTATTGAGCCAAGAATTCGATATGACAATCTGGATAAATTAATTTACGAAATTTTTTTTTATGTTCTTGAATTTGAAATAAGTGACGTAAAATGGATTAAGGAATTCAGAGAAAAGTTGAATAAAAAAGATTCGTTTACTTCTATAGCAGGAAAGACTTACAATATAACAAAAGAAAAATATAATAACCAGCTTGAACTAAAACTATCTGAACTGGAAAATATTTTAAGCCATAACGCATTGAGTGGCCAATTAATTGAAAAATTACCTTTGTATAAGCGTGATAAAAAATTGCAAGCAGTAGTAGAAATGCTTGTTCTGGATATAATGTCAATTTTAGATAGCTTAAAGCATAACTTAACAAAGCAAAATAATCTACTCTTTTTAGATGCTAACACTCCTTTATTAATTGGAAAATGTTTACGTAATCATTTAGCACATGATAACGCCTTAGTTAATGTATTGTTATTTGATCCTTTAATAGCAATTGTTTTGAACGCTAAAACACTTATTGAAGAAAATAAAAAGAGCAAAGAAAAAATTGATGAGGAAGATATAAAAAGCAAAGAAAAAGTTAGTGAGTTAATAAGCGATGATTCTTTCAATTTGAGAGAGAAATACTCTCAAGACTTAGATACCATTACTAATCAGGAAAAAATGTTTGCTGCTTTGGAAGAAGGAAAACCAAACAACTTCAAGGATTGTCTCAAAAAAGGTGCAGATATTAATGCTAGAAGTATTAATTCATGGACCACGTTACATTTTGCTGCTAAGGGATCCAGTCCTAAAGTTATAAAATTTATTCTTGATCAAAATTTAAGTGTTAATGTGAAAAATATTAATGGTCAAAGCCCATTACATATTGCTGCTGAGCATGGAAGGAATAATATTGTAGAATTTTTTATAAAGGAAGGTTCATATATTGATGATTTAGATAATAGTGGCAAAACGCCATTACATGTTGCTGCTCAAAACGGTCACAAGAATACTGTTGTAGTTTTATTAAATAATAATAAAGCACATACTATTGCCCGAGATAAAATTGGTCTTTCACCTTTACACTATGCAATAATAAATAATCATGTAGATGTTACTAAGATTTTATTAAAAATAAAAGATATAAACGTTGATATTAATGAATATATAGGTAACTCAACCCCGTTGCACGCAGCTGCACAGAGAGGTTATCTAGAGTTAGTTAAAGTCTTGCTTAAAAATGGGGCAAACGTTAATATTATAAATGAAGATTTGACACCATTACATTTAGCCGCATTATATGGCCATTTGGAAGTAGTACGTGTTTTAATCCAAAAAGGAGCTCATGTAGACGCTAGCAGCATAAGTGCAGGTTGTACACCATTACACTGTGCAATACAAAGAGGTCATGAGAAGATAGTTAATATTCTATTAGAGCATGGAGCTGATGTTAATGCTGTTGACAAAACCGGTAATACACCTTTACACAATGCAGCAAACGATGGGCACGAGGAAATAGTTAAGACTCTACTGGAAAGTAAAGCCGACGCTAGTATTGCCACTGTTACAAGTATTACTCCGTTGCATCTTGCTGCCCTGTATGGTCATCGAGGAATAGTTGTTGCTCTACTTAACCATAATGTTGAAATTGATGCTAAAGCTCAAAATAACGCTACACCACTACACTGCTCAGTAGAAGGTGGTCATAAAGAAATTTCTGAGCTTCTAATACAAAAAGGAGCAGATTTTAATGCCAAAACTAATAATAATGTAACACCACTACATACAGCTGCCCTGGAAGGCTACAAAAACATTATTGATCTTCTAATAGACAATAAAGCTGAGGTAAATGCAAAAGCTGATAACGATACCACACCATTGCATCAAGCTGCTCTGAAAGGCTACAAAAACATTATTGATGTTCTAATAGAAAATAAAGCTCAGGTTGATGCGAAAACTCTTGACAGTGTTACATCATTGCATCTAGCTGCTGTGGAAGGCCACGAAGACATTGTTGATCTTCTAATAACAAAAGGAGCTAAGGTTGATGCAATAATTAAGAACGGTAGTACACCGTTGCATCTAGCTGCTTTTAACGGCCACATAGACATTGTTAATCTTCTAATAGAAAGTAAAAAAGCTGAGGTTGATGCAATAACTAATAACGGTAGTACACCGTTACATATAGCCGTGACAGCAGGTCATACAGAAATCGTTAACATTCTGGCAGCAAATGGAGCCAATGTTAATGTCAGAAAAAATTACAACATGACACCATTGCTTTCTGCTATAAATTATAATCACAAAGAAATCGTTGAAGTTCTTATATCAAATGGAGTTAAAGTTAATGAAGAAGGCATTAAACTTTTGTCATCAGCAGTTCTTGCTGCAAACACAGATATTATAGAAATTTTACTAGACAAAGTCGATGTTGATGTAAAAGATTCTGAAAATGTTGCACCATTACACTTGGCTGCTATTAAAGGTCATAAGAATGTAGTAAAAGTTCTGTTAAAAAAAGGAGCTACACTTGATGCTATAACTGTTGATAATCTAACACCATTATGTTTTGCAGCACAGGCGGGGTCTGAGGAAATTGTTGAGATTTTAATAGCACATGGAGCTAATGTTAATGTTAATAATAGATCTGACAAAAAAGTTACACCGTTACACCTGGCAGCAACAAGTGGTCATTGTAATGTTGTAGAAGTATTACTACATAAAAAAGCAAATATTAATGTTAAGGATAATGAGAATAGAACACCTCTAGAATTAGCAGTGGCACATGGTCATTTAGAAGTGGTTAAAATGTTACTACTGCAGGACTACGAAAAAATAGATATAAATGCTAAAGGTAACAATGATTGGACGATATTGCATTATGCTTTAGTGCAAGAAAATAATTTAGGGATGGTAAAATATCTAGTAGATGATAAGGGATCTAATGTTAATGCTATAGATGCCTTCGGTTCAAAACCTATACACATTGCAATAAAAAAAGGTTGTAAAGATACTGTAGAGTTTTTCCTTAGTAAGGGATTAAGTATTAATGAACTTAATGCAGATAATTGGACATTATTACACTATGCTGCAGAAAATGATCAATTAGAAGTTGCGAAGTATTTGATAGCACAAGGCGCTGACGTTAATGCTAAAGATGTTAATGGCTTCACTCCGATGCATATTGCTGCTAATTTTAGTTATAAAGACGTTATTAAAGTTTTATTAGAAAATGGCGCAGTTTATAACGCCGTTGACGAGCTTTTCATGAGATGTTTAGAAACATCTAATGACAAAACCGTTATCGATTTATTAGAATCAACTGAGAAATTGTTTGAGGCTGTAAAACGTAATGATTCTTCAGATGTTGAGAATTACATTAAAGCAGGAGCAGTCGTTAACGCCAAAAATGTGAATGGAACATCATTACATTATGCTGCATGTAATGGCTATGACAATATCGTCAATATTCTGTTACAAAATGGAGCTGATCCTAATACAGTTGATAACAAGGGATTTACCCCTCTACATTGTGCTGCTAAGTCCTGTCACTTAAAAGTTGTAAAGCTCCTATTATCTAATGGTGCAGTATATAATACAATTTCTGATAATGGTATAACCCCGTCAGATTTTAGTGTAGATGAAAGTATTACTAGCTTATTTAAACTACTAGATGACTCATTTAAAAACATTAAAAATGATGATTCTCAAGTTATTAATGATCTTAACAAGATAAAGGATATTGATACAGTAAAAGCAATGATGAATGCTCGTAATGAAGAAAACAAAACGTTAGTAGTTGCTGCGGTGCATAGTAACTATTCAAAAGTCGAACAGTTAAAAGAGGTATCACAAGATGGTGTATCCGATCAGATTAATGAAGGTTTAAAATATTTTTATCGAGGCGATTATCAAAAGGCCTTAGATTCCTACAAAAGAGCATATAAAGAAAGAAAAGAAATACTAGGATCAGATAACCCTGGCACTTTAGATATTCAGACATACATAGGTAATGTATCATACGCACAAGGGGTTTACCAAGAAGCTTTAAATACATTTGAAGAAATTTTCCAGAAACAGAAAGACATATTGGGTTTAAATGACGAGAATACTTTAAGTACAATAAGTAAAATTGCTTTAGCGCTGCATAAACAGGGAGAGAATGAAGAAGCTTTTAATATTTATCAAGAAGTTTATTCAAAGCAAAAAGAAATATTAGGGCCAAATCATTTAGATACTTTAGAGACTTACTTTCACATGGCAATGTTATTAGATCAACAAGGAAAATACGAAAAAGCGTTTAATATCAACAGAACAGTTTTTGAAAAAAGTAAAACAAAATTAAATGCAGATGAGCCAACAGTTTTGTGTATTCAAGAAAATATAGCGGTGGTACTGGCTAACCAGGGTGAGCTTGAAGAGGCATTGACAATTTATAAAAATGTTTACGAGAGGAAGAAAGTGGTTTTAGGTATTAATCACTGTAGTACTTTGACAGCGTTGCATAACATTGGTCTAATATTCCACGCGCAAAACAATTATTATGAAGCCCTGAAAACTTTTCAAGAGGTTTTAAATAAAAGGAAAAAAGTTTTGGGAGAAAATCACCGTGAAACCTTGAGTACTCAATACTGTATTGCAAATGTATTGTTTGCTGAATTTAAATTGATTGATGCACTTAGAGCCTATAGAGAAAGTTTTGGTCAAATCTACGCTGTTCTTGAACCAAGTCATCCCACTGTTTTAGATATTTTAAACAAGATAAAAAATATTAATTATATACTTAAGTTTACAGGCATCGAGCCGCGAGATATTCTACTGTATCTGCAGAAGGACATTACAACATGTCATTAATGAAAATAACGAAACGTTAAAATGTGACATTTCGCCGATGAAAACAGCAATTGCCACTGCTATGATTGCTCAAGATATGGAACAGGATGATGATTGTACATATATTGGTACAAGCTACAAGCGAGATATAACCGAAGAGGATAAAACAAGACGAATAATAAAAGATGAAGTTATTATACCTATTTCCATTGTGAAACAGAATGTCTTGTCTAACTACGAACTAACGGACGAATCAATAGATGAATTTTTACGCATTGTGAAACAAAGTACTCCTTTTGAAACGCAAAGTGTACACTATCAAGGATTACCTAATTATATTGACGCTAGTAAGAGCGACAAAAGCTTACAAATAATTGGAGGAAAAAATCATTGCTCTGCAGAGGGAATTGAACACTGGCGATGTATATTTTGTGATAGCACCAAACTATTCGTATATGACAGTATACCTGGCTGTACATACGACAGATTGGTGCTCAAAGAAAGAGAATATATAAAGCGTCGATATCCAAAAATAAGGCAGAGTGATATTATTTTTGAGAAAGTCGATGCACAACCAGACGGTACAAGTTGCGGAATTTACGCCGCAGCTTTTGCCACAACAATAGTAAATAAGGGCAATCCTTGTAATGTAAAATATTCCTATGAAGTAGAAGACATGAGAAAACACTTTATAAAAATTATAGAAGAGAAACATCTGTCGTTATTTCCAACACGTCCGTAGTACTATTTACAAAGTTACGATATGTATAAATATATCGTTTAGATAAAACATGTCTCAATGAATAAAATATTTTTTCGGGATTGCAAAATTAAATGTCAGAGCGTCTGTTCTGACGCTACTGGCAAAATAAAATGCCACAAACGTTTATTCGGACGGTACTGATAATAATAAAAATTAGATACGTCTATTCTGACGATAGTGATAAAATAAAATGCCACAAGCGTGTATTCGGACGGTACTGATTATAATCAAAATCAGATGCGTCTGTTCTGACGGAATACTGACAAAGTAAAATGTCAGAAGCATCTGTTATGACGGTACTGATTAAATGTATCATTTCAAAATTAAAATCGGAAAGACGAACATAAATATATTGGATGCGTTCTCACGGGAATGGGCGTTGGAGGGGCCCATTCTATAGTATCAATAATCAAAATCACATAATTTAGATCCTTTTTGTACATTTGAAAAAAAAGTGCATGCCCATACAGCACAGATTGTTGCAGAAAGCTTCCAGGAAGGTTTCGAAAACATTTCAACCTTTCACATTTCATGTGCAACATCTTTGAAAGAGTTCTTCAATATGTCATATAAAATGTTGCAATAGAAATGTTTTTAAAACCTTTTACATGAAGATAATTTTTCAAAACTTTTATTTGAGTTATCTCTGAATTGTTTCACATAAAATAATTTTATAAATCTTTCAGTTGAGCTGTTTTTAAAACCTTTCTCACGCAATAAAGTTAAAAACTTTTAGTTGATTTATTTCTGAATCGTTTCATATGAAATGATTTTGTAAACCTTTCAGTTGAGCTGTTTCTGAAACCTTTCTCACGCAATAAATTTGAAAACTTTTAATTATGTTATTTCGGAAACATTTCATAAAATATAATTTTGCAAACCTTTCAATTGAATTTTTAATAAAACTTTATACATATATAGGAGAAGTATAAGTAGACGAATTTAGAAATTTTTAATTGCAGCTTTAAAACGGTTCTAAGGGATGTAACCACGCTTTATGTAGGGCTTTTTGCTTTTCTCAGATATTAATTATTAAATTATATTATGTAATAATATACGAATCTTTTATATTAATATTTATAATATATCAATTGTTGTTGCGTTGTTTTTAATATTTGCCAGTTAATAAATAATTTCAAATTTTTGAACACTAAAGATGCTTATATACAATACGAGCATAAGCTAAAAGGAATTAAGCATCAGAACCAGAGTATCGTCACTAGCGGCTAGCCCGTTCGATCATGGAAGTCAAGCAACGTTGAGTGCGGTTACTACTTGGATGGGTGACCGCCCGAAAAAAAAATACGGCAATATATTTCGGAAATCTTTTAACACACTTTCAGAAAGGTTTCAAGTGTGAAAATCGCGGACATTTTTCTATTCCAGAGTTGTCTCAGAGATGTTGCAGAAACATTTTGAAATATTTATGACATGTTTCAACTCCATCAGATGAAACATTTTTTAAATATATCTGAAAGGTTCCTGTGCTGTATGGGTGTATTTGTCACTTGATTATATAAATATATAAACAGTACGTATAAGATGGACAAAATAAAGCGTAACAAATTTTTATCCTCACAACTTATTTGCAGAGAAATATGTTTTAAACAAAAGTTGTTTGCTTTGAAGGGGGACACAGGATTGCGATGTGAGTTGTGTCGTAGATGTCGTCATTCTTAAAAAATAAGGGACTAATTTCTTATGGAACTTGATTTTTTCTTTCACATGAAAGTTGTACATCTCAAGACATTTTCGAAACACTATAATAAAGCTCTCTTTCGTTAGAATGTCCTGGAGGTATCTTAAATTTTGTCATATTTTTTATAAAAACTGTGCAATAGCTAATCAATTTGCAGCATTTCTGTTAGAGTAGAGTTTGCGCATACGTTTCTTGTTAGAAAATCGGGTCTCAGGAGAGTTGGTAAGTAATAAATTTAGTCAATTTTTACATTAATTTGCAATTATCTGAGCAATACTCAAGGCAATGATAATCAAAAAGTGATAAATTTTTTAGAGCTGCAAAGAAGAACAAGTTTTAAAAACTTATTATCCAAAAATGGTCACTAGATCTGTCACAGATGTTGCTACAATTCAAAAAAATGGTGCAAATTAGGAATTTGCACATGGCTTCCTCATAGAGGAAGTGATATGTCTTAAGATGCTAATACGGCTCTGTGATTGGCTGATGACGCCTTAAAACAATACTTAAGACGATCTTGAATATAAGACCCGACTATGAATACCGGCCTTAAAGAATTATACATAAAAAAAAATCGGTAACCCTTTTATTATTAACAATTTTTAATAATTCTATTATATTCTTCAGTCTTTTCTACCCCTATTTCATATATAATTGGTTAAGATTTGGTTGATCAGTTCTGGAGTTATAGAAATTTCGGTAAATTTGGCACATACATACATACACACATACACACATACACACATACATACACACATACCAACATTTTTTAAAATAGCGATTTTTCGACGTTTTAGAACATTCTGAACACATTGGCAAAAGCAACTAAAAAAAAATTTTTTTTACGAAAACAGCTTCCTCTATGAGGAAGCAAAAATGTAATGTCTCGTAGAATATTCACTTTTCGATGACTGTACTTTCATACTTTTATACATAGAATAACGAAATGAAGCAAATAATAATATTATTTTTGACATTTACAATTTTGCAAAATAAAGCAAATAATATTATTTTTGACATTTACAATTTTGCAAAATTGAATACATGTACGAAATGCAATCAAGTTCTTAAAAATAATTTTTGCCTTTTTTTAATCAAAATCGATTCTTTTTATTCTATGTAGAAAAATATCAAGGTAAAATCCTCGAAAAACGAAGACTTTACGAGATATTTCATATATTTCATATTAAAAATATCATGACAAAATTTTAAATATCTTAGAAACGAAAACTTCATTTCATCGAATTTTTTGTTAGCGATGTATTGAAAATTGTTTAGTTATTGTGCCTAAAAAAAACTCTTCTTAAGAAATATATGTTTTCGTTGATAAAATTGTAAAAAAAACTGATTGAAATAACATTAAATTAAAATAAAAGCAAAACACTGAAAAACTGACTAAAACCATTCAACTTGCGTGAACGATATCACAGTCACTATTGGTCGTAAAAATGTTTTCGACCCCGCATTTTTTTCGTCAGAATGTTTACTTTCTTTTATCTCAGAACAAAAAAATCACTTAGACTGCTAGAACAAAAGTTGTATACAAAAATGTGAAAAAAATATTTTTCCTAACGCGAGCGTAAAATGGGCCGCTTTTCGCGCTTGTTTTGAGTGAGCAAAACGATCCATTTCGCAATGATGACGTAAGCGTTGAAACATGGAGACATTTCTCAACTAGTGGAGAAATGAAATTGTAAAACAAGTGCCAAAAGCGGCCTGTTTCACGCTCTTGTTAGGAAAAATAGTATGAACAACTCGTGGGAAGATTGGTCAAGCCCAAATGAGTGTGATGGTCGCACGAGCGAAGCGAGTTCACACTCATTCTCAACTTCACACTCATTCAGAATCGACCACTTTTCCCACTAGTTGTACAATATACATACTATTTCCCAAATTTTCGCTATTTTTTAATTCCGTTTTAATCTTATTTCTTGGGTTTTTGACATCGCAAAAAAATTTATATACGTATTCGATGCAAAATTTTATTTCCTACAAAAAAGTTCTCTTATACTTTTTTCGTATTTTGCGTCGTTTTCGAGATATTTCAAAAACAATGGAAAATGATATTTTTTGTTAATATCTCAGAAGTGCACCCCTTAATTTAATAGCATTTTCGTTTTTTAACTTATTTTAGTGTCAAATGATCGTATGAATCAATAAAATTCCATTAAAGAATTAGTTTCTTTTAAAAACACATAGACAATAACCTGTAAGCAAATGTAACACATAATAGTCTCAATATTGTAGGGTGCAGAATTAGGAACAAGAGCGATGTTATAGGCACAGTTGATCAAGTGCTCTGTAATAATTATTATGTTATATATTTATTACATTATATATTATACATTTATTTTATTATGATTTATTACAAACTCTAATTTTTGTGCTTTTTGTAACAGTGTCATACAGATATATGTAACATGTTCAAAACTTTTACTCATAATAATATACAGGGTGTCACTTGATTCGCGCTTACTATTTACTACACAGCGATATTCCTTATCAAAAATTGAGTCGAAAAGTCTTGAGCTATTTTTTTCTATAATGTTTTTAATAAAGCAGTAATTATTGAAT